TTTCTTCATCCTCTATACAAAAAGAGAGAACCCCGTCGAGCTCTGCAACTTGAAGAAGAGTCTGTATCTAACTGCATCTTGACCTTAATTGGCCCGGTTTACCTTCAGATAAGGCAATGCACCTATTACATTGTTGTAGTCGCTGCGATCAACTTGTACCTGTATCCACAAACATCAAGATTATGAGCCATCTAACTTTGAGGAGAACATACTGCATATCTTACAGCGGAAGTTAGAGAGTTTCACGAGCCAGAAAATAGACGTGTTTCCTTCTCTACGTTTTTGGCTTAAGTTCGTTCTATATATGTGAAACAGTTAAACCAGCACTCGTTTTATCTTGCGCTAAGAATAGGCTTCCAAATTTCAAGAGAAATCAAATGTATGGTTGATCTTGCTTACTCAAAGAGTATGTGGTACCATTCGTTTTACAAAGGCAACACGGCACACATATAAGAGGTCAATCAGCTAGTTTCTGGACTCAACTAAGCGTTAGAAAAAGTACTACTGCTCAAACAAATATAAGCAAATGAACACCAAAAAGGAAAAAAATATTAACACAAAAGATAAATGATAAACAGACTCAAGGGAGCTAGATTTAGTTGCTGAGTATTTTCCATGTTCTAATTTGTGGCCAAGAATCACCTATAGCAAGATTTTCTAGTGGTATAAGATAAGAGGCCCCAATAATATTACGCAAAAGTAAACATCTTCAATGGAGGAAATTCCATACTCACAGGTTAGAAAGGATATGGCAGATATTAGAAAGTGGAGGGAGGGGGAGGTCAAGAAAATGTGTAAGCCGTGTATTCATAAAGTTTCATCAACACGGTGCCTTATTAAGCGTTCAAAGCAGATTTAATCACTTTGAACGGCCGTAGAAGTTGAGAGGAAGATGGTCAGAACCAGAGCCTATTTGCATATTGCATATAGTCAATCTCTTCAACACCAAAAAGTGACTCTCACAATTTCAATAAATATGAATTTGCAACTAATGTATCCTCAAGTGTACTGTCATTCATTCGCATCGATTATATTATAGAGCAAGATGGCATGCAGAAGAAGGGAAGTTGCATTACCGGAACCTGTCACCAAACACTTGGAAAATCTTACTCTCAAAATTACATCAAACTCTAAGACATCTAGAAAAAGTCTAGTGCGTACAATACGATGGTTTATAATCATAATCTCCAACTCTTTCGGTACCTCTGTGTATTTGTGCAAGTCTACAACAACAAACAGCAAAAAACCCAGTGCAATCCCACGCGTGGGTCTGGGGAGGGTAATGTATACGCAGACCTTACCCCTACCTTATGAAGGAAGAGAGGCTGTTTCCGATAGATCCTCGGCTATTAGCACAAATATCATTTAGATTACACCTATGGCAGAAGCATACTTGGTCCATTGTGTTGGAATAGAAAAGCGTACAGGGCATTTCTCGAGAACATTGCTGTTATAAATAATAAACTTGTACTTTACATGTCAAGCACACTTACAGGAACTGGACCAAATATTGTGCAATCATGGGATGAATCTATGAACTGTTAGGAATTATTCAAATATCACGTATCTAACAACTGCGTAAATGACATTCTAACTTCTTAGTCATGGACATTTTTATTTCACAGATCCATAAAAATAGTTGAAACGGGTTCAAAGAAGCATAAGGGACAGTGAAGATTCCCACAACAAACTCCAACTCGCTTGGGATTCTGACACTTGTCGTTGCTTTATTGTATACGCAAAGATAGTCAACTAATCATGCCAACTGGTGGCTAGCCAAAATACCTAGGCCTTTTTATGAATATCAGAAAGCAAGGGCATAGTCCTAAACCCTATTCAGCAATCATTTACAGAAGGACGGGGATTCCCCGCGGGGCTATTACACGTATTCCCCCAGGGTAGCTACAAGCATAACCGATTTAATAAATTATACAGAGTGACCGCAGAAACTATTCGCAAGCTTGCGCACATATGGGAAAATTGAAGCTTTCTGAGAATGGAGAACCCCGGACAGCCGTGGAGGCCTGAAAACAAGACAGTCCGAAAAAAGGGCCTTCTGTCTACATGCTTTCGAGGGTATAGTTACTGTTATCAAAGCTAATACATGTTCATCACATTCATTATATAAGTTTTGAGAGAGTTGAGAAAGTGCTATAATAGAGGTTTGAGTTGAACAAAACAAACAAAGACTGTGCTGGTAATTCAGGCAGTGGAAGAGCTTGGAGGTAGCTGTATGGAATTGAAAGCACATCGTCCCTTGATTTAGGGAAGTAGCATTCTCCTTCTATTGATGGACGTGAATGGAGCGTCAACCTCCTGGTTGTTGATAAGGAGTATGAGCTGGCGGGGAGCTCACACAATTAAGTGAAGGGCATCTTTCTAAGTATGGCATACTACACCGCCAGGGAGAGAAGAATAGGGAGGGGGTGTAGCTTATCTAATACACGACAAGATGGGTTGAATTATTTAAGAATAGCTCCAAAGGATTTTCAACCCGCATACCTTACGAGGTAAGAATGATGATTATATTGAGTTTAGCTTAAAGGAAGAAGTTAATATCTACCGACCCCAATTTGTTTGGATTGACGCGTAGTTGCTGTTGTTAAACCTTATGCAGTAAATATTGATAGAGAGACCACAGTTCCTTTAATCCAAATGAACCAGCTATGGAGATAAATAAAGTATATTCTCTCTTCACTACCGTCTAGTAGAATAACAACATTTGTCATAGCGTGTTTTGCATAAGTATTCGTTTGACACAAAATTGAGCAATACTTAACCAAAAACTACATGAATAAATAAGTTCTTTTCGTCGCTGGGAACTGCAAACCAGCAGTAGCTATTTGCACTCGAAAATTCTTTTTGAAATATTTCCCCGGAATGTTTCACACGCTTTAGCATCTCTTTTCATTATCTTCTCGATGCAAAATAAATATGGAGTCTCTTCCCAAATTCATTGATCACCATTACAATATTTGATAAATTTTTAATTTAAGTAAGCATTCACAACAGAATTTATGAGTTCACAGAGACNTTCACATTCATCATCAAAACTCAACAGACACAAAATATCAAAATAGCGAGCAAAATAGAAACTTTACTTTGCTGAAGCCTGAAAATTCCGAGCTTATCACAAATTCAAACACCCAATATCACAATTACCACAAAAAACCTCCTACATATCAAAACCAAACACACATACACACAAACATTAAAAAACAATATTGAGAAAAATGCAAACTTTACTTTGTGGGTCTTCATTTTGTACCTTTTGGCACATACTACAGTCAATGGCTGTGAGTTTCCGTTAGTGAATTTTGCAGTGTAAAATTTCCAACAAATTCAAACGCCTAATTCACATTCATCACCAAACTTCCTCAACAAACATACACACACAAAACAAAAAACATAAAAAAAGTGATTAAAAATGCAAACTTTACTTTGTGGGTCTTCATTTTGTACCCTTTGGCACAAACTACAGTCAAAGGCTGCGGATTTCCATTAGAGGGTGTTGCAGCAAAAGAGACTTTGTTGAAGACAATTGGGGCAAAAGTTGAAATGTTATGTGAAGAACTGAGATTGAGGGAAGTTTTCTTGGTAATTGATGGGATTTTAACTGATGTACGGCAAGTAAAACCAGTAGTTTTTTGAGGGGAAAGGTTGAGAAATGTGGAGAATAGTGAAGTTGAAGAAGAAGAAGCCATTGTCAGTAACATTTGAGCTTCGTTTTTCTCAAGGGGTAGTAGTATATGGATAATGTGAGGATTTGAAGGGAGTTCTCTATCCTTTTGTGGTATTTTTCTAAAGTTTTATGGACCTCAATTTAACTTTTGGAAATAATAAAAACAAACCCCTCTTGTTCGTGAAATTACACTTGACACTGTTAGTTGGCTGGTATGTGGTCCTTTAATGAAAGATCTATCTTTACCTAAATAGGTGATTTGATTTAATGTTTAGTTTCACTGACCGGTATATATAAATTGTATTCCCTCCATTTTATTTATATAAATCTATTTAATTGGGCATGGAGTTTTAGAAAAATAAAATAAAATTTGAACTTGTGTAAATTGAGGCACATGTATTATTATATTTTGTATGGTTATAAATCATTGAATAAAGATAAATTATTTTCAAATATGGAAATAGGTCATTCTTTTTTGCACAAACTAAAAATGTTGAACTTGTGGTATAAAATGAGGTATATATATTTTGTGTAACTATAAATAATTGCATAAAAATAAATAATTTTCAAATATGGAAAGGTGTCATTCTTTTTAGTACGGATTAAAAAGAAAATATGTTCACATAAATTAAAATAAAAGAAGTATATAAATTCTATATGGTTATACACATATTATATATGAATTATACATATATTATACATTCAATGAATATATTTTGTTTAAATGGTTGGGCGATCGGTTATTGAAGTTAATTCTTCTTAATTTAACAGAAAGACCTATTCTAAGTCTTCTACTGGGTAAATGAACTCAAGTTTATTTTATTGGATGGACGATCCTTTAACTAGATTTTAAAAAACATGGCGCAATTTTTTGTTATTTTTCTTTCCATGTTTTGATTAGATGCTCCGATCAGGAGGTTTGAGCGTTTGGCTCTGGCAGGTACGAGAAGAGGTATAGGGCGGCACAAGAAGTATTTGGGCGAGGTGATCAGGCAGGACATGACGCGACTTCAGATTTCCGAGTACATGGCCCTTGATAGTAAGATGGGGAGGTCGAGCATTATTGTTGTAGGTTAGGGGGTAGTCGAGCATTTCTCCTCGTTGCGCCGGCTAGTCTAATAGTGTTTTGTCCGCTAGTCTGATAGTGTTTTGTCTAGGACTGCTAGCGATTTTTATTGTGTTTCACATTTTTTCTGTCTTTCACATTTTGGTTAAATCTTCTCTAGTATTAGTACTTGTCATTATGGATGAACGGAAGTGCTAGATATAATCTATAACCTTGTACTGGCCAAAATTCAACTGTGTGGGCACCAGAAGAGGAACAGTTAAATATTCTATGCTATAAAAGTACCTAAAGAGCATTGTAATTCCTTTAGCTTTGCCAGCATTTTTCCTTTACAGCAACACTTTCTCATAGTGAAGAAAAAAAAACAGCAGACTTTCTCATAATCAACAAATGACCAAAACTGAAGTGCTTAACTATATAACAAACTCAAAATACAACAACGATAACCCGTCGCCATATAGCTAAAGTTCTCAGCTTCACAAGCACTAGTCTTTCAAAGTTCTCAGCTTCATAAGCAGCAGTTAAGACCTTGTCAAGATGGCTATCGACTCCCACTCCAAACTACAAACAATGTCCTGCAACGTAGCGTTCTTGATGTTATATATGTATGCATAGCAGTAACAGGTTGCTACGAAAATGAAATGTAACACAGAGACGAAAATGATTCTCTTAAAGAACATAAGCACATCAAAGTTATCAGATAAGGTTTCACTTACTGAGGGGTTTTGTCGATCAATGTCAAAGCTGTTGATGGCACAAGGTTCAGCAAGAAGCTCAACGGGTTCTTCACCTGTGCAAATGAAGACGAACCAGATCAGCTTCAGACAATCAGAAATAATACATAAGAAATAACATGCAGAAGAAGTCTGAACGCATTATACCTTGTTCAATTACGGCAAGAATGCCATCTTCTGAGCAAATCATGGCAGGAAGAACACGTGATTCTGAGATGTTACGGTAGTTGGATGAAGTAGTATAGTTGTCATAGTGGACCTCCCAAACATCACTTTCCGATGGTGAAAGGGCAGAAAAATCACTGGTTCCGACACCAGCAAGTATTATGGGCTGCTGTTGCCAGCGAAGGTCCCATGCAAACACAGTACCAGAAGAACCTCCAGCCTTCAAAAACAATAGAATTGGAGACGTGAAACTCGAAACAACCTTGCAAGCCTAATAGAAAAACATCCAACCATTCTCAGTCATAACCCAGAAATTAATTGACAAATAGTACTAGTTACATGTTTCTTTTGCGTCTAAAATTTTCCAGTCACTCTCCACTCCATTCCTCTCCCCTCCCCTCCCCACTATACCTGCACATCCTCCAAAAAAAATGAAGAAAATAAAAGAAAGACAAGAAACTTCATTTAATTGGTCCTTTGAATTTTGACTTCAGTTGATTTCTTGGAAATGAACTTTAATTTAAGAGATTGTCAAAGGGCAGGCCCTCAGATCTATCATGGGTTAAATAAAGATAACATACTCATTTGAGACATCTGTATAGTTATGCTATTAGCTACAGTTTTTTGATGTATTCTAGTCTAGTTATGACGTCAAATCAGTGTTTAAAAAAGCGCTCGCTTCATCGCTTTAAGCGAGAAGCGAGGCGAAGCGTGAAAGGCAGCGCTTCAGCTTGCTGAAGCGACTCAGGTCAGTAAAAGCGACCGCTTCTCTGTAAAAAGCGAGAAGCGGGGAAAGCGGAGCGAAGAGAAGAAGCGTCCGCTTCTCTGTATTAAAATACCCAACCCTATTTTATTAAAAACAAGTTTTTTGGATTAAACACTGATCTTCAACAACAGCGACTAGTATTCTTCAACTTCCAACAGCAGCGACTTCTTCTTCATCTACTTCTGATTTCTTAAAGAATCTCAAATCATCAACTAGGGTTGTTCTTCTTCTTCTTCAACTTCAAGTTCAAGACTTCAACAGGTATGTTCTGAACTTCTGATTTCCATTCTTCTTCTTCTTCTTATTCTTTTTCTTTCTAAACGTCCAAAAAGCAGCGAAATGCTGGCGAATTTTTTCCAGAATTTTACTGCCCAATTTTTCCAGTTATTAACAGAGAAGTATTGAACATTTGCTTACAATTACATGTGTTGTCTATGCAATATTTTTTTATTTATTTTTTAAATTTCGCTTCACTTCAAAAAAGTGAGCGCTTCGCTTCTCGCTTTAAGCTTTAAGCGAAATGGGGTTTGTCGCTTTTTCTCGCTTCACGCTCTTCACAACACTGCGTCAAATGGCACTGATGAACTCCTCGTCACCAATGCAACTAATAATTCCCTCACTCCTCTAGAAATGGTAATTGATAATCTCTTTACATGTTTTAACCACATTGAAGCGGCACAATGTTTCATTTTATCAGCAACTGAAAGTCGAGGTAGTCACAAGCTTTCTTCTCTAAATTATCACTTCTTGTACTTCTGTTCTACTCTAGCCATAAGTTCACCTCCTACTAGCTAATAAAACTGAAAATTAAGTTTTATGTTTCAGCTTGTTAAGGTAGTGAATGAGGGGTGACCTTAGTGGTTAAAGAGCTGAGATGACGACCTCGGCCACAGGAAAGGCAATCGAGGTAAATTCTTCCCATTTGCCTAAATCTTGAAGAGTAGATTTCCTGTGTACCTCCGCCAGTAACAATTACCTGGTGGACTAGACCAGGTGCACACAAGTTGACTCAAATACCACCGTTATCAAAAAGGAAGAAAATAAAAGGTTCAGGAACGAGGGGCGACAAGCATTGTCGATCAAGAGTTCAAGGTAAGGCAGGAATATCAGCTTACAAGACAAGTATGCTTTCTTGATGGATGAATATCAATTGAATGTACAATGCCAGAAGTTGATCCACGAGTCCTGCGATGTAAATAAACTTTCAGAAAAAGGACTTACAACAATACAGAACAACACTCTTGGCCAGTTAAAGGATGCAGACTATAGAATCACAAAAAAGCGTCTTCATGCTATAACTAAGGGACATATGGAATTATTCGGCCTAATCAACTTGTCCACCCCAAAAACCCGTCCTCAATTCGGGATTGCAGGTTGAGAATAAACATGTCACTTTCTAATTTTGACATTTTAAGGGACGAGACAAGCCCTAACTGCAAGTTCATGCTATGAGAAAGGTTCCAAGATTACATTTTTCTCATCCTTGATTTTTTTCCTTTCGATAGGTCAATTCCAATACAATAGCACAGAAAAAACTAATACGCTGACACATATCATCTGTGAAGTATATATTGGCTCAATTTCTATATTCAAGACATGCTCACTCTTATTTACCTTAACTAAGATTTAGACCTATAGGTTACAGCAGAGGTACCATTGTAAGAAGTCAGTGTCTTCACATCAATTTCAGCTACTGGTACTATCAATTATTCCTCAAGTAAGAAGTCTAACAAAAGCAATCAAAGAAATGCAAAAATGAACCAAAAATATACACCATCGATATACATTAATGATACTACACCAACAAAAAACTTGGACAGAACTCAGAGATCAAATGCATAAATCTCTGAAAGGTTAAACCACTCATAGAAAGCATAAAACCAACATTAAAAGTGCTAACATCCAAAACATATTCTCAACTAACATGTATCGTCTATATAGATCTTTTTCTTCCATTATGCCCTATTACAAAACATGAATAGCAACAACTAGTACCACTACGCCTAAACAAGTTGGTATCAGCCATATAAATCCTCATTGACCAATATTATGCAGATACAAATAATAAGTACAAGAAGTTCCGTATATAAGGTATAAATCTCTGAAAGGTTAAACCACTCTTAGAAAGCATAAGACCTACAATATAAGTGCTAATGTCTAAAACATATTCTCAACTAGTATGTATCGCCTATTACAAGAAATGATAAGCAATTAAAACAAAAGTTCAATTACCAATTCCCTTTAAACTGTGAAACCGGTCCCCCGGGCCGTCGTTGATCCCACCATTGAAGACCAAACCCCAATCCACCACTCACAAACTCCACCGGAGACGCCCATTTAACCGCCCCATATGAAATCAACCCATTACCATCAAAAACCCTCTTAGAACTCGACCCCCCACCAACAAAACTCACCAAATTAATCCTCCCATCCTCCCCAACACTCACAAACTCCGACCCATTTTCACTCACATCAATCCCCGCAACCCGACCCAAATGAAACCCCTTTACCGAATCGACAAAATCCAACGACCCATTAACCAAATCAGCTGTATAAACCAACAAATGCCCCGAAAATGTGGAAGCAGCAATAAGGGGTTTATTGGGGTTTTGTGAAGTTTTAAGACAACTGATTCTTGAAGGTGTTGTGAGTGAGGACTGAAGTGTAATTTCTGGTGAGTTTGAGTTTGAGTCTGAATCTGAAGTTTTTTGGATTAAATTTAGGATTTGGATTGATGAGCTGGAGGAGTCGGAGTTGAAAGTAGCGAGGATGATGTGACGGTGAAAAGCGGAGAGTTGAGGGAGAAAACGGAGGGAATCAATGTAGTTGTTTTGAGGGAAACGGTGGACTTGGAGTTGTTGAGAAGAAGAAGAGGTGATTACCGCCATTGTTGAATGAGGTTTTTTGCTTTGAGGGTTTTAGCTGAGATTGGACTGTGAGTTAAAAGGAGGGAGTGAGGTTTTGGTTTACTTTTTGCTGCATTACTATTTGAAAAATGAAAACCTTTTCAATGAAAAGATAGATATTGACTGATTTTGTTTTTTAATCTATTGGTCTCGAGAAATTTTATTTTGGGTGGAACCACCAATAATACTTGTAGGACAAGTGTATTTGTAGGGTCCACTTATAGACATCGAATTGATTTAAATAAATAAGGAGAAAAAGTGAATTTTTTATTGATATGGTTCCCACATCATATATTGATATTCAATAAATAGAAAACTAAATAGATAGTGTTAGGAAATATAGCTCAAAGTAACAATATAGAACAAAGAAAAACAAATTAAGAGATATAAAGAGAAAGAGATGAGAGATTATTATTTCTTCTTCAATTGTGTTATCTTTCCATCTATTACAAGATCTTTATATAGACATAAAAAGTGAAGAAATATGTCATTAAGCATTTGAGATCATGGAGGAAGATCATGGGGAGGTTATGGAGTTACAATCATAACTCCATAAGTATTATAGTAGTGAAAGTTATGAAAATAATGAAAAATAGTAGTGATCATTACTCATTTGGTGGTTATGGACATCCACCATAATTCAAGATTTTATAACGTTCTCCCTTAGACGTCCGTGGATAATATGTTTCGTTAAAACCTTACTAAAAAAAAACCCGGTGGAAAAAAATCTTAGTGAAGGAAAAAGAGTACACATATCTGTAATACGCTTTATTTGATGCCTCGTTAAAAACCTTACTAGGAAAACCCAGTGGGACAAAATCTATGTTAAGGGAAAAAGAGTACATCGCGTATCATACTCCCCCTCATGAAAACATCACTTTATTTCTCGAAGACGGCGCATTCTAATCTTCTGTCTCAACTTCTCAAATGTTAAAATTGGTAATGCCTTAGTGAACAGATCAACCAAATTTTCATATGAACGAATCTGTTGAACATTAATTTTACCATTTTGTTGAAGATCATGCGTGAAAAAGAACTTTGGTGAAATGTGCTTTGTTCTGTCTCCTCTGATGTATCCTCCTTTCAGTTGAGCAATGCAAGCAGTATTGTCTTCATATAGTGTAGTTGGACTATCTTTTTTTTCCATAAGAAAACCACACATTTCCTGAATATGCTGAGTTATTGATCTAAACCAAACACATTTCCGACTAGCTTCATGAATAGCTATTATCTCAGCATGATTTGAAGATATGGAAACTATTGTTTGTTTCATTGAACACTGTGATATAGTTGTACCTCTATATGTAAACAAATAGCCTATTTGAGATCCGACTTTTGGATCAGACAAATAACATGCATCGGCATAACCAATCATTTCTAACTTGAATTCATTAGAATAAAACAATCTCATATCTAGAGTTCCCCGAAAATATCTAAATATATGCTTAACACCATTCCAATGTCTTCTTGTTGGGGAGGGGCTGAATCTTGCTAATAAGCCTACTGCAAAAGCAATATCTGGCCGGGTATTATTGGCAAGATACATCATTGCCCCAATTGCACTAAGATATTGAATTTCATCACTAACGAGCTCTTCATCATTTTCTTGAGGCCGAAATGGGTGCTTATTTATGTCAAGCGATCTCACAACCATTGGGGTACTCAATGGATGTGTACTACCCATGTAAAATTGCTTTAAAACCTTTTCAGTATATGTTGATTGATGGATACAAATTCCATTTGTTATATGTTCAATTTGTACGCCAAGATAAAATTTTGTCTTACCAAGATCTTTCATTTCAAATTCTTTTTTCAAACACTCTACGGCCTTTGAAAGCTCTTTAGAAGTGCCAATGATATTCAAGTTATCAACATACACAGCTATGATGACAAAATCAGATCCATACCTCTTAATAAAGATACAAGGGCAAATAGGGTCATTTTTGTACCATTTCTTTAGCAAATACTCGCTAAAGTGATTGTACCATATCCTCCCTGATTGCTTCGATTCGTATAAGGATTTCTGAAACTTTATTGAACAAGTTTCCCTTGAACCTTTATGTGCTTCAAGAACTTTAAATCCTTCTTATAATTGAGATAAACAAATATCATTGCCTTCACTATTATTGGAATCTTCTCTTCAAAGAAAATTCACACGTCTGTTGTGTGTTGAGTCACTTGCTTTATCAGTTGCTTATTTTGGCATGACTTGAATAAGTATCAACAATTAATTGCCTTGTAGAATAATAATATGGCAGTATCCTCGTATGCAAATAGATTATTTGAAGAACGAACTTTAGAAAAATGCCTGCATTTGCATAACCAACAAAATCTTGACAGTATTTGTTAGAATAAATAAATCTATATCAAGGATTCCTTTTGTAATATAACACTAATCATTTTCAATATCTCCACATAGGAGTAAAACTATATATCGCTAGAATATTATTATACTTATGGTTCTAGCAAGATACATTAGTGCACCAATTACACTAGACACAAAAATAAATCATGTACACCATGATTGGTCTAATCCATATAATGATTTGATGAAACTTTATCTAATAAGTTTCTTGGGAACCTTAATATGCTTCAGAACAGTTTAAATCCTTCAATGATTTTTTTTATATATGCATATCAAGTTTTTCACGTATTGCCAAATTAAAACCTGAAATGACTACATCAACCACAGGAGAACATGTCTCTATATAATCAATGCCATGATATTTACAAATCTTCTTGTGTCACAAGTCATCTTTATGTCTATCGACTTGACCTTTTTCGCACAAGAACATATTTATACCACCACTAGCTTTATACTTTCAGGTGTTGGGATTATCCGTCCAACTTCATATTTTTCAGGTGAAGTCAATTTTCATTACGTATATTTCATTTGGTCAATCATTTATCTGTCCAAATTTCATGACAGATTTGAGCTCAAGATCCTTGTCAATATTAATAATATTGAGCGCCACATTATATTAACAATATCGTTGATGATCATTTTGCATCTGTTTCATCATCACTCAATAAAGACATAACTTATCGAGATCTCATTATTTTCAGGTATCTGAGCCTCTCCCATGGGGTCTTATGAAGTGTTATGTTGTGGTGCTCTTCTAGAGCACTTGCCTCCTTATTATGACTATCTTGAACATTTGCTCCTCTCCTTCTTCAAGGAGTTTTATCTTTGGAACTGATTGGTCTGTTACGCTTCTTGTGTGATATAGACTTTGTCCCTCATGGATTTTATTCTATTTGGAGCATTAGCAGCTGAAATATGACATTTAGCTTTGGGTCAGCAAATGCGTCTGGCAATAATTTGCAAATGAATTATCACTTGAATTTCAAGTTCATATTTTCTTATACGAGGATCTATTGTATTCATAATAATTCATTCCACGTATCACTTTCTCAGCTGCCCATTTTCTCCCCCTAAAGTTGGGATCACCAACATATTTCGCAACCTTCTTTGGGAACCCATCTTTGTGCATTGTGGTGACACAATTAAATCATATAGCACATCCATATTTCTAAATAAAAATTATTTGGTTCCTGACCCTGAACCGATTGTGATAGGGAGTATTTATCATAACTTGTTGGCTAGATGCGTACAAATGCTACTGTCTATTAAATAATACACCTCATACCAAATTTCTTTTTGGGAGTTTTGTTCTCATAACCAATGGTTAACTATAATTGGATGCATACAATTTCTGCTAAACCAACTTGGATTTAAACCAGCATTATCAAGATAAATTATCAAAATTTATATTCTGGAATTATGCTCTAATAAATTGAGCAAACAACCTTGCAAAAATCAAACTGCAAGTTGATAACAAACGCACATGTGACCATGCAATTAGGGGTGTTCATAAAAACTAGAAAAATCGAACCAAACCGAAAACCGANATATATGTATATTTTTATATAAAGTTTCTAAAATTTTATAGTACATATTAGTCGTTTATATTTTAATCTAGTTTTTTGCTATTATAATAATCTAATTCTTTGTCTTTATATTCTAGTTTGATTTTAGTTTTCTTTTGGTAAGTACAAGAATTTATTTCATTTTAAAAATAATTGATTTTTAATTGATTACTTAAATTATTTATCACCTGTTGATTCAATTATCATCAATATATCTTGGTAAATAATAGATTTCTCAAAGAGCAAATGGTTTGATAGTGTTACGTTGAAAATGTAGTCTCCAGAATATGTGTTTGGTAGTGTATATCTCATATTTAAGAAAAAAAACTGATAAATTACTGAAAAAACCGAAAAACCGACCAAAACCGATAAATACTGAATCGATAAAAAATCGACTTAATTGGTTTGGTTTGGTTTCAATATTTGAAGAACCGACTTACTTAGTTTGGTTTCTTTTTAGGGGAAAACCGATCCAAACCGAACCATGAACACCCCTGCATACAATAGATGNATATATATATATCTTTTTTTATTCGTTCCAGAATTCAATGGATTCAATCACAACCTTAACTGGTATATCATGAGAATAAGCAGCACAAGAGATTTTTTTTTTGAAGAATTTTCTATTTTTTCAATATATGCCAATGTGAATTCTCAATCAATTTTCGCATCATAATTGAACCGGGATGGCCAACCGATCATGCCAACTAATATTTGTTTCAGTAAACCTCTAGTTTACTTGTGGCATGTGATTCCATCATCATGCTTATACTTGTGTAGTATAAATAGAAGAAAAATCGGGTAACCTTTCATATTTACCCGATATGATTATAGTAATATGAAGATATTCAATCTTCATTTCATCTATAGTCTCAAATGCCAACCACTTTGACTAATATATTTGAAACTCAAAAAGTTTCTTTTGAGACTTACCATAATATCAATGTCATGAACAATTTCATTCATCCGGGTAGTAACAAATTAATTTTTCTGGAGCTCTTAATTAATTTTTGTACTACAAGATCTTTTGTCACACCATCTATATGGTGAATGTCTCCTTCACGGAGAAAATTATATCATAATAATTGTCATGGTCAAAATTATCATAAGCAAAATAATTTCTTGCTTTAACTTAGACTTTAATAACCTTTTATAAGGCACGATAA